AGTGTGTCAGTGACCTCAAGATTGGGATCTTGAATTTCATTTAAAGAACTGTTCTTGAGAATTTAAATACTGTCACCTGGTATGTAATAAATACCTATGGCTTGAGGGACACTTTGGCTTTTAACAAAATTTGCATACGAGATAATGAAGCCTTTTTAAAGAATTGGTATGATTATTTCTAGAGCTCATCATCAGAGGATCTCGCTCATGCTGAGAAGAGTGACTTTGGAGTTTTTCTGATTAAAAAAATGGAGGGTTTTTTTTTCTGCATTTGAAGAGCATTTAAAATGTATACTTAGAGACAATCCCAGTAGGGTACTGTCTCTACTGAATTAACACAGGGGGTTTTCCTTATTACATTTCATTGTGAAATGCAGCTTTTTAAATTTGAGACGCATTATGAATGTGCTAGGATTTGCTTTTTAAAGAACTTCAAAATTATATGTATAATCTTACAGTTATTTTACGACTATCAGAACTAGGATTTGAAACTCCTAAGTATGGTAATATTTTTTTGTTGTTGTTTTCAGGAGGGAAAATTGATTAAAAAAAGCAGTGGATTCTCTGGCAAAGGTTTTAAATTTGATGAAACAGAACAGGCTTTGGCTAATGAAAGAAAGAAGCTACAAAAAGCAGCTCTTGGCTTGCAAGATTCAGATGATGAAGATACAGCTGTTGATGTAAGCACTTGGGAATAGGATTTTAAGTTGCTTATGGATTTTCTCGATACATTTGATTTTCTTCCCCAGTAGGTTCCATGATATCTTGCAGAGTGTATGGATGTCTGTTACCTGTGCCCTTTGTTACTGACTGCATGTATTGTTCAAATATAGAGATACAGCTATGAAGATCAAGCTCTGGGAAGATCTTCAGTGTCTCTTTTTGATTTACTGGTATTTTACACTTAATAGGTGTAGTTACATAAAAGTCACATTAATTATTTGGGATATTTATCTTGCATAAATGAAAACTATGGTCCTCAATTGCGAACATATTTTATTTTAAGTGCTTCAAAGACATAGTAACATTTTCTATTTCTAAATCTTACTAGATTCTTTTCTTAATGTTGGATAGATTCCTTTTTGTGACCTTGCAAGTAAACAAAAAAAAAGTCTGTTCAGACTTCCTGATTAGATCATCCTTTTGTTGAGCTGTAGTTTTGGACAGGCTTCTACCATTTATACAAGATTAATTTATTTAAGGACATGTGAACTAAATGCCCCTTAGTGTTTCTTTCTTTATGATGAAAAGATTATATAGTGGTAAATGCAGTGATCATATAATTGTTATTTTCTTTAGATTGATGAACAAATTGAAAGCATGTTCAATTCAAAGAAAAGAGTAAAAGACATGGCAGCGCCAGGAACATCAAATGCTCCTACACCATCAGCTGGGAATGCAGAAAAATTGGAAATTGCTAAAAGATTGGCCTTGAGAATCAATGCCCAGAAGAACCTTGGAGCAGAGGCACAAGTCATGGTTCCCTTCCACTTTAAGGTCAGGCTCTTTACAAACCAATTTTATTCTTTTTTAATAGAGGTTGTTCAGTTCTTTGTTCTGTGGCTGCCATTTCATGTTCAGTAACATACTGCATTGTTTGTCTCATTTAGGCTGGGCTAACTCACTTACATAGTATTCATGAGTGAGCTGATATGTTTATAAGACTTATTACATAACTGTAAATGCTTTGTCTGCCCTGGCAAAGAGTTAATTCATTACTGATAACATTACACAATTAGTTTTGTCAGCTTTGGCAGAGTTGCAGAACATTTTTCTCTACTGAAGCATGAGGTGTACATGTGATGTACAATGTGTTTAGACTGAGCTTAATTGTTCTGGGATGTCCAAAGATATTTTAGGCTGAAAATACAAAAGATGACAAAGATCTTTCCTTTGCAGGTGTGAAGGGAGTTGTTGAGAGGAAGGAAGGGAGAAGAAGTCAGGAGAATGTATTTGTTATGTAGATAATCAGATTACATAGAGAGCTTTAATGAAACTCTCACTGGTTTATATAGGACTTTTTTTGGCTACCTTGTTCTCAGTATAGACCTGTACTTTTACAGGATGTGATGCAGCAGGCTACAAATGCTATCCTGAGAGGAGGCACAATTCAAGCTCCTACTGTGTCTGCCAAGACCATTGCAGAGCAACTGGCTGAAAAAATCAATGCCAAGCTCAATTATGTACCCATAGAGAAACAGGAGGAAGAGAAACAGGATGGAGGACAGAATGAATCCTTCAAGAGATATGAAGAAGAGTTAGAGATCAATGACTTCCCACAGGCAAGTAACCATTTTGCTATAATCAAGTTTAAAGTACCATTATTTAACAAAACCTCTCTTCATACTTACACCAATAAAATATTATCTCTCTATTTCTGATCTTACCTAATTGAAATTACTATGTCAACTGTGATTACTTCTCAGGTTATAAAAATGCTATGCTTTGGACTTATTCCAGAGAGTATCAGAAAAACAAGTATTTGTTACCAGACAAAAACCTCTTCATCCTCTGCCCACTTATCTAATATCCAGATCTCTGACACTGTCTGGCGTTTTTTTTGGAAAGGATTTACTGTCATGACTGCTCTTTGCCCTTTTTTTAGTACCTTAGTATTTCTGCAGTTCAGAATATTGCTGCTCTGATCTACATAATCTCTTATTTTGAGGATTTATATTTCACAGTATCAAGTACAAATTCCCTATATTTATCTTTGATGTTCTGCCCACACTGGCAGAACTAATGGATTGCCATTTTGTGGTGCTTTTCTCCTTGTTGATCCTTTCATATCCTTCACCTTGCAGACTGCCAGATGGAAAGTTACCTCCAAGGAAGCACTGCAGAGAATCAGTGAATATTCTGAAGCTGCCATTACAATCAGGGGAACTTACTTCCCTCCAGGCAAAGAACCCAAGGAAGGAGAACGAAAGATTTATTTGGCTATAGAAAGTATGTATTCTTTTTATAAATGTTTCTCTTAAAGCTATGAGTCTAGTTTTGTAATTAGACATGGAATTTCTGTAGTCAGTGTTTGGACACTTGACTTAAAGACTCACTTCAGTTACTTTGCAATTGTTTATCTTTATACACTTATCAAATGATCCATGGGAATCACACAGAGGCTTCTCCTCCCTTGCCACTGAACAACAGCTAACATATGAAGTCAGTTTGGAGAAAAACAGAGGAAAAAGAATCAGCACAAAGAGATCTGTGCCAGTGTGAAATAAGGAAGGAAATAGAATTCTGTTTAGGCTGTTAAAGGTGTAAGAAATTGCATCAACTACTATAACAAAAACTTGGTAAATGTCATAATGGTTGAGTTTTTCTCAAGAAGCCTCTAATCCTACATATTTCTGAACAGTATCATTTATGACTGGAATACCTTCCTTAAAAGAGAATACAGTCAAGCTTTGGCATTCTATGCAATAGAGTGTTCTTCACTAAATAGCTGAGGATATTCAGCAAATTTTACTCTGCTTCTGAAAGTGGACAGGATGTAGGCTTCATATACAGAAAGTGTTTAAGATTAAAATGCATATTTTTATCTTCAGGTGCCAATGAACTGGCTGTACAGAAAGCAAAGGCAGAAATCACACGACTTATAAAAGAGGAGCTCATCAGATTGGTGAGTGTAATATCCAGAATACAGGGGGAAAGTGCCTTACTATATGCTTTATGAGATTGACTTCTGCAAATGTTGATGCTCTGGCATAAGGTTTTATTAATATCAGGGACTGGGACCTATAGATCTCAAAACCACTGTTTTATTGAACAGCCTAAAAATCCATGACACTGGTTAATCAGCCAGAACACGGCTGCTGTCAGCCAGCAGATGGAGATAACACATTGACAGAGGTTTTGGAATGAAGACCTCTCAACAAGTTGGGTCCCAATAAATTTCCTAATTTCAACACAATCAGGCAGGGGAGAGGAGAATTATCCCCCTCATTTTGATATTTTAGATGTGTTGATAAATTTAGTTTGCTGTAGCTTTACATCAGACCCAGCTAATAACTAGTGGGACTTCATTGCAATTCATTTATCCATCTTAGCTTTTAACTGTGATTATCTTCTTTATTTGCAGCAAAATTCTTACCAACCTACCAACAAAGGAAGATACAAAGTTCTATGAGCATTTGGAGTTATCTGTCTGCTAGCAGCTGGTGCGTGAAACTTTGTGGCTTCTGTTGTTTTTGCTGTTTACATTGCTTATTGTAAATTAAGAAATTTTTTTATTTCATCTTGCGGACATTTTTTTAACAGAAAATTGATACTTGCTGAAGCATCTTAATTCTCTCCACTGAAGTTATAAGTCTTAAAGCAGATCAGTTTGGGCAGAACATGATTTAATTTAAAAGTGCAGTTTATATACTTTTCATCATAAAGAATATGAAATAAACAGATTTTAATTTTTTTGACAGTGTACTGTTAAATAAACTAAAGTTTTGTTGGGAAAATGAAAGTTGGGATTTATGTTGGAAATTGTTAGAATGTACCTGCTTCTTATTGTTGAAATGGTTCACACATCAGTTTATACTGGAAAAATTATAAAATACCAAAATAAAGTCAGGATTTTTCTCCTGATCCATAGCATCTCTCTGGCTGGTTCTACACACAGTCATTCTCTGTACAAATGTCCCCCTAAGGTCAGAGAGTCTTGCATCAGAGTAGAGAATTTTATCCAAAAATACTTGAGGTTTTGTTTTAAGATTTTATCCTTCTCATGTCCCAATTTTTCTTTATCATCCAGGTAGTAGATAACTCTTAGAGGTTGTTGTAAAGTGAAATGTTTTGTAGTATGACAGTAGTTTTCCTGTTTTTTTCTAAATATCAGAATTTTAGGATTTGATTTTTTTTCCTCATTTGGTGACATAAGAATGAAAGTCTGTTTTAGTTTAAAAAGGAATTGTCAGAAAAAAAAAAGGAGAAACCTCTTTTGTAATGAAATACAACTTTGTCACTCTTTTATAATGTTCTTATATATACATTTAATGTGATTGTTCCCCCGGGATTGTCATCTTTATTACTGTTAGGACATGGCTTTAAGTAAAAATGTATAGTGATATTTATGAATGAATTCCACAAATACTATCATTGCAGTCAATAAGCTACTGGGACAGGCAAGACTGATGTTTTTGAGGTCTCATCCCCATAACCAGTAGGATTCATGATGGACTCTACTCCTAAACATTTAACTTGTCTGCTTGTCTGGAGCTGAAGTTGAATTGTCTCGTTCTATCAGCTGCAAGACTTTCAAGATGATGACTTTGAAAAGGACTTTCTTAGAAAGCTTTTCTTACCTGACACATTGAGAAAAAATGTGTCATTTTAAACCAGCTGTGTAACCAGCTTTAACCCTGGTGAAGACAAATCATACAATCAGCATCATGGCTGTAAAAATTCACAACTTCTTTTTCCAAACTTCAGGTAATTTAAGTGACTCTCTGTGTTTGCATTACCACTGTCTGTTACCGTGTCACTGTACCTTATTTGCAGTACAGGGAAGAAGGAAAGGAATGACTATACCAGCTTAACAGTCTACTTTTAGGATAAGAGCACTCCTAATGTAGTACTTGCCAGTATTAATACATAAGAGTAGAGCAGGGAGAAGCAGCACACAAAGTAACACTTCTCAAAACTTAAAACAGAAATCCCAAACTAAAGCTCTGTGATTACATTTAAATACATCAGTTTTCATTCCCTTAAGAACTGGGGTTTGATGTCTTTCCTAAAAATTCTTTGTTGAATTGTCCAACTTTTGGACAGTGTCACTTCCCAGAAGAATGACACATTTTGTATATTTAATGAAGAACACTGTGGAGTTTGGACAGCCTGACAATTTCTTTAAAAATCTTGGTTCAAAATGTTCATACATTGATATCGCCTATAAAAGGCATGATGGAGACATGTTTATTGGATTTCAGAGATGCAAAAATGTATAATCTTTAACTTCCTGGGGGTTTTAAATGCAATGTCAATATTCTTATGTTTTTTTAATTCCAGCAAAAATAAAAGCAATTTCAATGTATGTTTTTCAGAAACTGTCTTTCTGAATAGCTCCTCTGTTTCCTGCATTGCTTTTTTTTTTCTGCACTGCTTCTGTGTTTTTTCCTATGACAGTTAAACCTCACGGTGTTTGGAGAAGGGTGATGTGAAGAGCAGCTTGTATGTTTTGTTTTCATTCTGGAAATGCAATGCAACACAGCCCATACTCAGTTAAGAAAGTCACAGTGAAGGTGTTTGGATATGTGAAAACAGGAGAAAAATGCATAAAAGCCAGGGAAAAGAAGCTCTCAAGTTAACAAATACACAGGAAAATAGTGGAAACAAGATGAGAATAAAAGTTTGGAGAAGATACAATTAATAATGTACACCACTATATGTAGATCTTCACAAGGGTGTCCATGGATATAGACAAGATCTTTATAAATATCATGATTTGGCTGTTTTCCAGGGAATCTACTGTGGTCAGATTCATGTTGCCAGTTGTGGGAAAACACAGGGATGGTGTGGTTTTGTTTTGGTTTGTTTTTAAAATAACTATAAGCAGAGCTTGTTCTGTTACCTGCCCAGGTGATAATGCTACCAGCTTTCAAGGCTGCCTTTATGCTCTCAGTACTTGAATGAACAGTGATGTTTTGGGTAGATAAGTGATACAAGTATTTAGCACTGGATCATGAATGAGTTTTTTCTTGCATTTTACCTAATGTGGTGGTGTCATTGTGCAGCAGGCCCACACCAGGGAGGGGAGGCAGAACGAGACCCCTGCTGCCAGCCCAGCTCCCTCATTCTCCATGCAAGTGACCCACAGAGATTCAAACAACAGTATCCCCCCAACCACCACCATTATGAAGGAATAATGTCCTAGCTAGGAAAACAGGAGACACTAAATACAGTATTTTGTGTGGGGGAAAAAATTCACAGCAAGATAAAAAATGTGTGCTATCACAGTTCAGAATGTTATACTCCCTGAACTATATGGTACATGGTTGCCACCTTTTGTGTAAACAGGCAGCTTAAGGCCTATTTTGCATGCTGAATTTATGGTATAAGCATAAACCCAGACAATGAGTGTAGACCACAGCCAGCATGTTCTGTAGTTGTTCCTGTGCTGGCTCCTTGAGATTTTACTTGTACAATTAAAGTACTGCAATTTAGTTTATGTGTATGTGGCTGGTAATTAAATAAAATATTCAGAAGCTTAAAGTACCATCTGTAGGGGCTTTTCATAGTTGAGTCTTCCAAGTGGAAAAAAAAAATAAAAATTTTAAGCAAAGTTTTTCTGAAATTCTGTAATTTTGGCAGCCAAGTATAAAACAAACACCAAAGGATGGATTTGGGATCTTCCTAAAACAAGAAAAAGAACGCTGGAATTTCAAGGAGTGAGAGAATACTTTGGTGTTTCAGTCCTTCAGGCATGTTTACAGTTTTAAGAAATGGTGGTAACTTCAGCCAAAATAGTGGCAGGGTTACAGGCAGGTACCTGTGGCTGTGAGGATGGAGCCTGTGGAGCTGGTCTGGATTAGTTTTTAGCTTTCTGTCATGGTCATGATGCTACTGATGGTGTGCTGCTGAACACCTCATTTACACGGGCCTGGCTTTGCTGGTGAGGTGGTTCTCAGGGTGAACATCAGTGGCAGGGAGCTACTGAGGGTTGTCCCTGAGCATTAGCACTGGGCCCTGTGTGCGTGCTCTGGCCTCCTCACATGATGCTCCAGGAATGCACTTTCCTTTGATTATTTTCCTTGACCCAGATCTCTTCCAAATATGGTCTCAGCTTTAACAAGTTTGTGTTCTTAGAGCTTGGGCGTTTGCAGAACAAATTCTGGCTTCCAGCTAACTGTGGCTGGCTGTATGGGGGAGTGAAGGCAGAGAGCAACCTAAAAATGCAAAAATAAAAGGGGAACAGCTGGACTCAAAGTTGTCCCAAAATGTACATTTTGTACAATGTTTATACAATGCTAGGCAGGAAGATTTGTTTTCATAATTTTAGCTACAGTGGAAACAATTGTTTTTAAATAAATGACCATTAGTCTGAGTGATTGCCACCCAAACATTACTTCTCTGAGACTTTTCATCTGAAACAGATTTAAATATTTTTCTTTAGTCAAACTAAGAGATATAAGATTGTTAAGCTGACCAGCATAAGCAGAGGTAAATTAATTAACATCTCACATCTAAGTTGTTCTAGTGAGCTAAGAAATAATTAATAACCTACTGCAGAGTGAGTGTATGATTAAGTTACTTTATACTTTGGCCATTCTAAGTATGAAGTTCATCATCACAAACATTTCTCAAAATAATTAATACCACATAGCAACTCTTCTGAAATGAATGGCCAAACAAGTAAAATGTTACACTCAGAGTTAAGACTAAGGATTTTCATTAAAACCTGTATTTCCTCTGCCTGTGCATGTTAGCAAGGAAGTGAATTTGTAGAAATTAACAGCTCAAATAATTCACAGTTAAATAGACCAGGAGGTGGTGGCAGTTCCCATACTGAATTCTCCCTGTTTGCTCAGCATGCTGTGGAGACCAGCCCTGGCAGAAGAAGGAACTTGTGCCTTGCAGCCCATCCTGTCCTTGAAAATGGGGATCCTTTGGTAGGATCTCCAGTGATAGAGGAGGAGAATGGCACTTCGTGGTTTGGATGTGGGAAGGGTCAACATTCCATTGCATCACTTATCTTACTGATAATCAATGTAATCATTTTGTACTAGTAATGAGTCAGTCCTTTAGAGGAAAGAAGAGGAGGAATTGAAAGATTGACAACTGGAAGAACACCTGTGGTTCAGGCCCTTGGAGCTGAGAAAAAGAAGACAGTGGCAGAGAAGTTTATCAGTGTTTGGTCCCTGATGTTATTAGTGCAGATTCACACTAGGACCAGGCCCTATTGCTACCAGATGACAATTAGGAGTTGGCTCAGCTGGTGTGCTGTGCCTGGAGTTTGGTGCAGGACAGTGACACCAACCTGGCCATCACAGGGCCATGGCAAGTTCCAGGTCACACATTTAGATCTTGCTCTGCTCTGCCAGCAACAGCCTCAACAACAGCTGGGTCCAGCTTCACAGCTCGGGATGGAGCCTTTCATTGCCTCACATTGCACTTCCACTCCTCTAGGGTGTGATGGCTTCTGTGTTCTGTTAAGACCACAATTTTTGCAGAAATCAGGAGGCTGAGCTCAGCCTGACTTCATCACCTTCCAGATTAAAATATTGAAAAATAACAGGACACCAAAAATGTATTGAACTATTTTTCATTGGCATTTCCAACAGGCGTTTGAACAGCAGAAAGATGAGATTTGTAAATAAACTGAATCATTTGCTAAATTAAGCTAAATAAATGCTGCTTTTCCCTGCTGCTTTCTTATATTGCAAATGAGGATTCCTGCATGCATTAGGAAGAAATGGCAAGAAATATGTATTATCATCTTGGCAGGATGTTTCACAGCAATTTTCAGCCTGAAGAGCTCCAAGTATTGTAGAAATAGAGTATCTTAGTGTTGGAGTACAGCAGTCTGCTCCTCAAACAACAGCAGGAGAGGAAAGTATTTTTAAAAGCAGGATTAACTATTTGTGAAAGCTGCAGATCCTTGTTTACTGGTCCTTTTTGCTTTTATTTTCTAAAACCTCATCTGAATAATACACAATATTTTTCAGGCTTTTTTTGTGTGTCAGTCATTTAAGGACCAATGTGGTCATTCAGACTCCAGACCAAGGGTGCTAATGAAGGGCAGAGTCTGTTACAGTCATTAACAAATGTGGATTAAATAAAAAATGTTGGTCAGCGCCCTCCACCAACTGGGCAAAATGTTGAATGGTGAAATGTGCTGGGCACTTAAAATTCATGTTTCTATGGGATCTTTTTGGAAACAGTTGAAGTTGCAATTCCTGCAGTTGTTCCTGTTTGCAGGTATGAAGTTGTGTTTATAAGGAAGTGCTACTGCAATACTGAAATACTGTGTTTCTTCAGAACACAGATGGATGAAACAAAGCAGAATATTTAATAACCAGCAGTCCCACACGGGTGCTGTAAGACACCGATGGTCCATGTCTGTGTGAACAACGGGGGAAATTGCAGCTGTTCCCACTGCAGAGTCAACAGCGGGGAGAACCAACATAATTCATCGTTCCAATAGCCCTGAAGCTGGACTGTTCCGTAATGGACTGCAGCATGTGGTGGAGTGGAGGTGATGGAGTCACCGCCCCTGGAGGTGTTTGAGCCAAGGCTGGATGTGGCACTCAGTGCCATGGTCTGTTCAATGAGGCAGTGTTGGTCACAGGCTGGACTCGGTGACCCCAGAGGTCTTTTCCAATCTAAGTGAGCCTGTGATTCTGTCTGCACTTTTGACACAGAAGACACCACACTCTTCTACCCAAACGGCAGTGACGAAAGCACCAGTAATATTTACCCGCTTCCAGGGATGTGCGCAGCCATGCAGGGTCTCAAATACTCGGAACTTTCGTGTGCGCCCTCACCGCCCTCACCACCCTCACCTCTTTCCGCCCGCCCCACAAAATGGCGGCGGCCGCGCGGCCCCGACCCTCGGCGGCGGGAGGGGCCTCACC